GGGGGTTTGGTTTTTCATTTCCCATTAGATCGTGTTTACGGAGGCGAGACTGCGCGCTCGGTCCCCGCAGGCTACGAACTCGGTGGGTTTTGTGCCATCTCTGTTCGGCAGAGGCTCTGAGTCCTGGGTGTGCCTGGCGAAGCTGTGCCTGACCGTGGGATTTGAAAATGAGCAGCGTAGCCTGTGGGGTGGTGGGGTTCTTGATTAGCAGGGGAAGGAGGGGTGATGGGAGACGTGCTCGCCACAGAGCAGGACGGTAGGACGGGTTGTGGCCTGAAGCCCCAAACGAGCGTGGCGTTACTTAGCGCACGTTCCTCTTGGCCTACAGAGCCATGCGGCAGAGCGACGCGCACGTCCTGCGGCAGCCCGAGGAAGGCCCCTCCTCGCCCTCGGGCAGGCCAGACGCCATCGGCACGGCTCGGGGCCCCGCGGGCGGCCGGGGCCTGTCCCTCCCGCCCCGCCGGCAGCCGCCAGCAAAGCCTCGGCTTTCAGCTCTCACGCTGCGGGCGAGCTCTGTTCTGGGGTTGGGGTGCTTTCGCTGAAAGCCATGATGCAGTCATCCAGTTTAGGGGGATTTGAATAGAAGAAGTTTCATTCCGATTCCACTTGCAAGGAGGCAGCTTTTTTTTAAGGAAAAAAAAAAACCAAAACCACAAAGCAAAACAAAAAAGTCAGAGGGGAAAAACTTCTTTGGACTCATTGTAAGCTGCGGGAGGAATGTTTACTACGCTCTGGGATGCTGAATAAATGCAGTGTTTTTCAAAAAGTTCTTACATAGGAGACAACATGTATTCCTGGAAGTACTTAGTTAATTCTGTTCTTAATATTTCATTAGCAATAATTTTAGAAGAAAGGGAGGACAGTAACTTCTACTTGCTTTCATCTCTGTGGGAGCAAGATCTAAGGAGCATTGGAGAGAACGCAGTGGGTAAGGGAAGAAGACCAGGTTAAATTGAGTGTGGTTTTGTAGAAATGCTCTTTCTACACCCCTCAACAGCATTTTACTTTTTAGAAATCATCTTTTTTTGTATTAACTGCTGATGCATCATAAAAATTAAACTCAGGCGTGAAGTATTTTTTTCCATATGAACATATTTCTCTTTTTCCCGTTTCTTCCCTCCGCCGCTTGCCAGATGAGGCCGCAAGCCGAAGCAGAACCTGCCGCCCATCTCGCGCCTTCAGCTCCTCTCCAGCAACAGCTTGCGATTTCCCCAAACTGACTTGGGGTTTGAATTTACTCAGTGCTGTCTTCGTTATCGAGAGATGGTGAACACATCAATCACTGTTTGTGTTCGTTACTGGGCGTCCATGTCGCGAGCGCAGTAGCTCTGCTGCGGTCCCAGCAGGATTATCGTTGCCTTCATTGAAACGGGGCATACTGGGGCGGGAAATGCAGCAGAAGCGGATTCATCTAATATTTACAGGCTTTCAACTTGCGGTCTTTCCCTGGCTCTGCTCAGAGCCACGTTGCAGCTTTGCTCTGGGGAGGCAGCAGGGTCAGGGCCGTGCGGGCAGGGGTAGCCTGGGAGCGCCCGGCGCCGGCTGCGTGCCCGTCTGCCCTTCGTGTCCTGCTGGGTGTCCTGCTGGGTGCTCATCCTCCACCCGAACCCCCGCAGGTGTGGTCGGAGGTAGGGGCTGCGGCAGGCCAAGTGTGTTCCGTTTCATTTTGTTTTGTTTTTCTTGAAGAAGAGAAGTAGCCACGTGAGCTGGGCTCCTCACTTGCAGCTCACTCTGCCTCTTCTAGGATAGGAATTTCAGAGGACCCTAATTAGCAACTAATGGTTAAGGGAGAGTTTCGGCAAGTCCGTTTGCCCCTTTCGCCCCTAGTCCTCGGCCGCTCCATCTCTCACTTAAGCTGGAACCAAGCAGCTGCCGAGGGGCTCCGGCTTTGCCCTGGCCACGTGAGCTGGGCTCCTCACTTGCAGCTCACTCTGCCTCTTCTAGGATAGGAATTTCAGAGGACCCTAATTAGCAACTAATGGTTAAGGGAGAGTTTCGGCAAGTCCGTTTGCCCCTTTCGCCCCTAGTCCTCGGCCGCTCCATCTCTCACTTAAGCTGGAACCAAGCAGCTGCCGAGGGGCTCCGGCTTTGCCCTGCTCCCGGCAGTGCCCTGCTCCCGGCAGGAGCAGCCGGTGCGCGGGGCAGGACCCCGCACGCACAGCTAGCCGAAGCTGCTGGTGGACTGACCGCTGGACTGGGCAGCCGGTGCTTTTCCAAGGGCTCCAGCTCATTTCTGGTTAAAGCAGCATTTGCTGAAGCTTAGAGAGCAAAGCTTTCAAAGAGCACCCTCCTTCGCTGCTGCGTGACTCTGCCTGCATTCAGGTGAAATCAGCTCGGTTTCTCTTGGTGAGCAAATAAATGAAAGTTGGGCAGCTTCTTGGACTTGGGCAATCTTAATGGGAAGGTAATGCTGTCCTTTGCTGAATATTCATGAAGAACTAATTTGTGCTCATGTTTCCAGATTGTGCTTCAGTCTGGGTGGGTTTTTTGTGGGTTTTTTTTTGTCTTGGCTTGCTCTGTTCAGCAGCCAACAAGCTGTTAGAAGCCTTGGCTTGACAATCAGGAGGCATTTGTAGTTCATCCTTCTGCTTTTCAGTTATATGTTAATTAGCGAGAGTGAGAAATGATTGGCAAGCCCCGTTTTAGTGGCCAAAAATGCTGTTCTGTGCTGTGCTCCTTTCCGCATGGGAGCAGTTCTCCTGCCGGGGTGAGCCGTGATCCGCACACTGGTGTCCACGTCTGCCATCATTCCCGATCCCCTCGATCCCCAGGGAGAGCTCGGTGCTCGCACCCCCGGCACAGCTGTGTGCCCCTGCCTGCCCGTGGGCGCTGGCGGAGGAGGAGGTGCTCCCTGAAGGGGTTGCTGTCTGGCCTCCGAGCTCCTGCTGCAGAAAAAGCTCTTCCATTGCTCCCCCAGGCTTTTTCTTTCTTTCCACCTACCTTTTCCACTCCCTTTCCACTGCAGAGATGACCCTCTGCTGCAGGACAGGCCGTGTCTTCCCGCGGGGCACTGCCCGTGCGAGCTGGTGGCAGAGCTGCTGCGTGGGTCCTGGTTTGTGGTCTCCCTGTGGCTGCAGGCTCGTGCTCTTGTGGCCATCTGCATGGGCACCACGGCCACCCACAGCAACATCACCTCTCCTAGGGACGAGATGCTCATCTCACCAGGAGCCCTGCACGCCCGGGCTGCTGCATCAGAGGCGCGTCCCCCTGCCCTGCCCAGCACCGCTCCCCTGCCTGCGGGCTCTGCCGTGCCCGGCCACGGCAGCACCAGGCTCCCGTGGGCAGCTGCTCCCTCGCCCTGCGCTTTCCCGCAGCTCCTGGGGCAGATGAGCAGCCACACAGCCGGAGAGTGGATGGCGGAGGGTGGGAGAGGTTGGTCCCTGCTCTGGGCTGGAGCGTGGCTGCCGTCCCTCGTGGCCGCTCCACCAGGGTGGGGACGCCCAAGTCACCCCACGTGTGCCGCTCGCTGGCGTCAAGAGGCAGGACAGGACGCCTGGCGCACCTTCAGCTGCTCGCCCACGGGTCCCCTAAGGAGTGGGGCTGGCACCGTCCCTTGCTGTGTTGAGAGACCACCTCTGCGTGCCTCCTCCGTGGGGGTAGCTGGGCTCTTGGTTGGGTTCGGAGCTAGCTTTCCATCACCGGGGCATTTCGGGGCCTGCTGCCAGCATAGCCATCCTCTCTGAGGTGCCAGAAGCCAGCAGCAGGACAGTTGTGAGCTGCAGACCCGCGGCGCTGCGTCAGCCGCCGGTGCTCTCCCTGCAGCTGTGTTTCACTGCGCTTCTGTGGCCTTGGCGTTTGGTGACTCCTCGTTACAGAAATGAAAACAAGGCTAGGGTCCTGGCTGTGTTAGACGTGGCATCTGATGGCACAGACAGACCATCCAAAGTGTGACCTTACAGACACGGTCATTGCTGCTTCGCAAAGGCTTTTGCTTCTCTGGGTTTGGATTTACTTATCAGGGGTGTTAGTCACGAGGGCGGTGTTTTGTTTTGACAGTCTTTCCTGGCATCGGCTCCGCAGCTGCACTGCTGCTTAAATTAATTTCACCCTCAGAGCACTCTCTGTTCCTCTGGATTTGATATGGATCTCTCTTTATTCTGAGGCATGAATTTGCTAACGCGGAGTTCGGTATCCCTGATACGGCAGAGGATGATGCCAGAAGATGTGCTTCCCTTCAGGGGTCTTGTAATTACAGGGTGTCTGTAGGGCAGTAATTACTGGGGTAGAAAGGTGTGCTGGTCTAAGCCTGCCCTACTCCAGGCAGTTAAATATAAGCAGGGATATTCGAGTTGGTGCCTCTGCATTTTTCCGTAGTAATTGTGCTTTCACAGGAGCAATGGGCAGGGATTAGCGAAACAGAACTCTTGTGGGGTGAGAACCCCTTTTCGTAGGAAGGCTGCTGGCAGCGACGCTTGGCCGCCCTTTGTGTAAGGAACCGATGCCCACCGCCAGGAGCCTGGGTGCTGATGGCAAGCTGCTCCTCCAGCAAAGGCCAAGGTGGCTGCTGCCGGGAGGTCTGACCTAGCTGTCGAACGTGGGTGCCTTTGCCCCTCTCTGACAGATGCTGGCCGCGATGGGTAACGCGGGGAGCTGTGCAAGCTTCGCGTGCTCCAGTAAACAGCCTACGAGGGTCTCCCTGTGTGTGCCCACCAGAAAAAAACCTTTCTTCTTCCAGAGGCAATACGGCAGTAGCCGCTATGAGCGAGGGACTGAGAAAGCAGACGGTTAGGCGAGGTCTAACCGTGCTGAGCCAAAGTACCAGTTCGGGAGCCCCCAGGCGTCCCGCTGTGCAGGGCATCCCGTCAGACAGACTGAGCAGTCCGTGCACGTGGAATGGGGAAGCAAAACTTCATGGCAGGAGAACTGACTGAAGGACTTTATTTAGGAAGTGCAGCTTCAAACTTTGCAGTCACTGATGAATTCATGAGGAAAATAACTGATACCAGCCGGTCTGGCAGAGTCCGTCTGCTCTGTTTCGTGGTGGCATTGGTGTGTTTGCTTATTCATGAATTTCTGAATGAGGGCAAGAGAACAGCGTTTCTGAGCTTTTAGGAGATAACTGTTGAAAGATAGCGGCAATTCCACAGGAGGCTGAGATTTCCTAACGCTGCTTTCCACTTTCTTGAGCTTTCAAAAGCTAGACAGAGGATTTGGGCACCCTGTACGTAGCCTGTAGTATGTATACACTAGTCCTCAGCTACTTGGACCTGGCATCAAGGCTGCTGCCTGGCTGGGATTTCCTTATTTTAGCAATTTAACTGCCTCTCAGCCTCACTGATGGCTCAGTTACCATCTGATGTGAGTATTTGTCAGCGTGGCTTCTACTCATGGTTGTTTCTTGATTGCCACAGTCCTCTGTGGTTTCACAGTCGTTGTAAGGGAACAGCCAGGTCCTCAGCTCGGCTTCTCTCTGGGTTTCGTTCTCAAATGTCTCGTTTTGCTCTCGTTCTAGACTTTTGTCCTTCCAGGTTTGTGCATGCAAATAACGCTTTTTATTATAGTGATTCCTTCGCAAAGTCTTTCTTAACAAATCCGTCCACACTTTGTGTTTCATGCCTGTGGGAGGCACATTTGAGATGTACGACAGGTCAGTAAGAACCAGCCCACCTGCAGGACACCTCCAAGAGGTGAAGTCTCCACATGGTGTGTTGGGAAACGGCCGTGTTTGAGGCAGCATCCCTCTGGGCTGTGTTCAGGGTGGGCACTACGCAGGAAAACTTGTGTGAGCTTGGACTGCGAGGTTTGTGGTCTCTCTTCCCACCGCTGCTAATAGAGAGATGATCGCTTCCCTCCCGTGTATCGCCTTTCTTCTCTTCTGCTTTCGTTCTGATATGTTTCAGAAACACACGATAAAAGCTTCAAAACAGAAAATTGCCAAACTCCTAACAAATCTTTTCTTATCCTGGACATGTCTTTGACATTGAAGTATTTGCCCAGTTGTTTCTGAACTACGTGAACGGCACGTTAGCAAATGGTGAATAGTTTTTCAGTGTATTAGTATGTCTCAAGTTTACTTGACATTGAAGAGATTGAGAGGGGAACAATATCTCGTCGGTGGGGCTTTTGCCACAAGGCTAACACGACAAAATACTTCAAGTGCCTGTGTACAAAGTATTGCCAGAGGTTGATCTTGAGGCGTAACTAAATCCAGCAACGGACTCTGAAAGCAGAGCAAATGGAAAGTGGCCCCCTCTTCTGGCTGGGCCGACCAGAATGTTTCCATGGGAGTACTGAATTGCACAAAAGATCTTGGCGTTGTTGCATGTTCGTGTCTGGAAAATGCCAATAACTGGTTCTGCTTCAAATCTTGCATCTACAGGAAAGAAAGAAAAAGTTCGAGAAGGATGGCGAGAAGTTTTATTCTATGCTGGATCGCCATTTGCATTTGTCTTCCAAAAAGAAGGAGTCCCAGTTGCAGGAGGTGTGTATGGAGTCTTCTTCAGAGTTGGGTGCGGAAGCAACACCACCAGCAGCTCTAGATCTTAAAAAAGGGGGGAAGTCATCCCTTTCAGTAACCCGTTGAAACTGAGAAGCAGTTAAATCTGCCTAAAGCCTAGATTCTCTGGATGAGACCAGGGAAATGGAGCTCGTAGTTCTCCTTAGCGTGTTGAACGGTAGAAGTGGCTTTATGCACTGTCACCCTCACAGTACAGGGCAGTGACCGGTTACACTGGCACAGCTGGGGACCGGCCACCCTTTCACCTGGCTTGGGGAACTGATCTGGCTGACAAATAACTGGTTATTATTACTTTTGCCGGCACACTTCCCTGCCTAGCTCCTGGTGTTTGCAGGGGTAGTCGCGGCAGCAGGCCCTCGGTGGCAGCGAGCAGCAGGCAGAGGAGGGGGGGGCCCCCAGCCCACAGCCCCCCGGCAGGAGCCCCGAGTCCGGCCTCCCCCTTAAATCAGGCCAAGATCAGGGTGTACAGACACTCTCCCTTAGCTTGGAGACTGCTGGAGCCTGAGTTGGTGCTGTGATATTTAAAACTTGGCAGATGTTTTCTCGAACGAGTTTAACTTCTTAAACCGGTGCAGGCACATAGCATCCCTCCCCGCAGCGGGGAAGCTCACCCTCCATCCCGGCTGGCTCCGGCGCATGGGGCTGGGGATCAGCCTGGTGTCTCGGTTCCCCATTGAGCCCATTAGTGGCTCCGGGCCGTGACGGGGGGGGGGGGGGGGCCCCCCCCCAGCCAATGCTGCTGCCAAGCGTGTTGCAACAGAAAGGAAAGCTCCAGCTGCGCCAGCCCACATCAGAGCAGCTGGATCAAATCTGTCAAACCAGTTGTCAGATGCATCTACAAGCATCTTTGCAAGGCAAAATCTGTGTAAGCTGTGGTAACACGGCATGCCACGTTGTCCTACCTGGAGCTGCAGCTCTGGAATTGCTGGTTTCGGGTCACAGCTGGAGCCGGGTGAGAGGATCGTGACAGTGGCCTTGTCCTCACCGGTGCAGGGCTGCAGGTGGAGAAGGAGCTTATGCTAAAATAACAAATAGGCTTTGGGAAAGCCTTGTCCTTGCAGACCGGGGTGAGGTTCCAGATCCATAAATGAAAGGGAGCCAGAAAAGAGCAGACCTGAGAAGAATGGCCAACGCTCCAGTCTTCTGGTTCTGTGCAAAGTGCTCAAAACCTGGGCCGGACACCTTTGGCAGGCTTTTCTTAAGTGAGGACAGAAATACTTGTGGGCTGACAGACAAATGCTAGTCAAATATTGTCAAGCTAGATGTGATGTATTTTCTTTTTTGACCTCTCCCTCTTTCTTCCAGGCTGACCTTCAGGTTGACAAAGAGAGACACAATTTCTTTGAGTCCTCCCTGGAGTATGTGTACCAGATCCAGGAAGTACAAGAAAGCAAGAAATTCAGTATTGTTGAACCGGTAGGAGCCTCCTCTTCTTTCAGGCCTTGCTGTTTGATGCTCAGATAGGCTGACCTGCTGACAGTCGCAGGAGGGGATGAGTTACCAGGTTGGATTCAGTCCTGGGGAGTCTTGTGATGGAGCAGGAGTTAACCTTGCACACTTGGACTGCTGCAGCTTAACAGCCTTAGTGGTGTTTGCTGGAGCACTGCGAAGCCACAGACTCGTTTCTCATGTCTGTAAGTCGATCCTGAGGAACAGGCTGGACGCCGCAGGTAGCTAGAGCTCTTGTTATGAATTACCTTGGACACCTCGTGTTTGGTAAGCATTAGCTGTCTTCAGAGGGAGAGAGTTGTTATCGGTCCGCTTAGCTGTCAGGGCACAGGCTGCGGCGGTACCGGCTCGTGGCTGCGTACAGGGACCCTGCCCTGGGTGGGTGGCTCTGCCCTGGCGCCGGACGCGGCTGAGCGTGGGATCGTGTAGGTCTCACGGACAAGCAATCTGCAGCTCTGCTCTTGTTCTCACAGCAGGGTCTTTCATTTCGGGTGTGTTTTATTAAGACATATGTGTGGGTGGTAGACCTGGGCTTTAGGGACGTTGTGGTGGATAAGTCATAGTAAGACTTGCATCACTCTAAAGTTGTAAGGGGAAAAAATAAATTTGTATATGTAATTTCTGAAACCCTGCTTCCTGTCTATCTTTCCTTTGATTAGAAATATAGAAGAGGGGTTTAATCTGTGTCCTTTTCCTCCTTTGCAGGTGCTGGCTTTTCTCCACAGCCTCTTTACTTACAACAACCTGACAGTTGAGCTCACGCAGGATTTCCTCCCTTATAAACAGCAGCTTCAGCTCAGCCTGCAGAATGTGAGTTCCTGCCCAGCTGAAGTATTTTTTGCATGTGACTTCTGTTCTCATTTGTATTTAAATGCCTCTGGTGGCAAGGCTTTTCCACGCAAAACAGCCTGTCCGTGTTTGCATTGTGGGAGGTGCAAATAAAGTTATTTCCTCCTCAGTTCACGTGTATTTTCTCCTCTCCTGTGCAAGAGAGTCTGCGGATGCTATTACAGTGTTTTTCTCTGTCTAGAAGGGGCTATTGAAATTGTATCATTTAACCGTGTGCATAAACGAGCCTGAGAATTTCTTCCGATTTCATGAGACCGAAATTGTGCATGTCTTCTAAAAAGGCCTCCAATCTTGATCTTAATGGTGTCGGCTTACTACATGCTTTGGTAGGCTCCTCAGCTGGCTGGGTATACTCATGGGGTAAAATATCTGTCTCCTGTTTCTTTTATCCTCAGTCTTTCATGGCTGGCCCTCATTCCTCTGGAACAACAGCCGTGAATCTGTGCCAAGCTGAGTTTGCTGCTGGCTCATTAATTGATCGAAGTGGTGTTCCATAAAAATGCCTTGATTTTGTACCCCGTGTTGATGTGACTCTTTAAAAATTTCATGCCAAGCAGTGTAGCATGATCTTTTAAGGAATCAATACCTTAGGTTTGTAGGAGAATACGCCCAATACCTAAACAATGGTGCGAAGAGGAGTTCAGGTGCTTCCTTCTGCTCCACCTAGCCTTAAAATGTGCTAAGTTTCTTTTATTGAAAGAACAAGTATCCTCCCAGTCATGACTCCTCAACACCATTTCCGTGTACGATATATTGAACCTTGTCTCTTCAATCATCTTCAAGAGTCCGGTTCTTCTTACAGCTGGAGTTTTCATGTGAATTTGTGGAGTGGCTTCTGCATTTTGTACATTGGGGACCGGTTCATTTCTGCCAGAGCACCTAAAATTTGACCAGGGATACCTGAAGCTCGTTCTTTGCTCATGTTCAAATGTGCTTCTTTTTGTTTTCTCTTAACAGACAAGGAATCATTTTTCCAGCACGCGGGAGGAGCTGGAAGACCTGAAGAAGAGGATGAAGGAAGCCCCCCTAACCTGCAAGCTACCCGGGCAGCCGACCATTGAGGGCTATCTGTACACTCAGGAGAAATGTAATGGCTTTGATATGCACCTGAATGCCTTAAAGAATGTGTAAGCCTGGGCTGCCCTGCTCGTAGCCCCGCTGCGTGGGCTGCGCTCGGCTCCTGTGCCCAGGCCAGCTTTAGCCGCGGCGGCTCTGTGGGCTGCGCTGCGCCGGGTGTCACCGCCTGCCAGTGCACAGGGTGCCCGGGGAATCACCGGCAGCTATAGCTGCCAGCTTTCCCAGCAGTGGCACAGAGCGTTCTCTGGGTTACATGAGCCATGTAAGCAAGGAGCTAATTGCCCTGCACTCAAATTAGATGAGATTTATTACTCCGCTGTAGCGCTGGAGAGACGGGAGCTCTGGCAGATTGCACCTCGGCTGAGTGTTATCAGAACGAATCTGGTGTCCTGCCCGGCTTCCCTCTCGCAGCGTCTCTGAGGGCATCTGAGCAAGCTGAAGTGTTAACCGGCGACGAGAGTGAGGCTGCTGAGAGCGGAACTTGCGATTCTGGGCAGAATCAAATCAAACCTAATTCAGTCTTTTACAAATACTCGCTGTAGCTTTCCATGAACACTCAGGGGACAAAAGCCTGTATGCAGAGCTGTGGCCTCTGAGTCTATAGGCAACTTACTTTGTGAGCAGTTATTTTTTGGATGATATATACAAATGTATTTATACATATCTTTGTACGTATGTTTACCCTGCTTTTAAAAGAAAGCACATAGACAGTAATTTTAGACCACAAACAAATGTTGCATGTTCCTGCATGCCAATGACTGTTTGCTGCCTCTATTTATATTTTCCCTATAAATCAAGTATGAAGAGGGTTGTTCTTCCTGACAACTGCAACTTAAAAAAAAAAAAAACAACCAAAAAAAACCCAACAGAAAAAATATCAGTTGAAGTATTTCATATAAAGGGTTTCAGTTAAGACAACAAAGAAAAGTGACAATAAATCTAGTGTGATATAAATAGGAACTTTGGAGTGTTTTAAAGATGCTGTTGTCTTTACTGCCAAGTTTTCATCAACAGGAAAAAATAGTGGTGTCTATGTGAAACAAGCATTCAAGACACGTAGGATGCTGCCAGTGTAGGTCTTGGCTGGACTTGGCCAAACCAGCCTGGCTGGTGGCCAGAGTCCCACAAATGCCCTTTCACCAGCAGCGTTCTGGGAGGGTGCTGGAGGCGGCTGCCACCCCGCGCCTCTGCCCCTCTCGCTCCTCCTGGCTCTTGCCAGTGGAGACGCTGGCGAGGGAGGTGTCCCCATGGGGCCGGTGGTGTCCGTCCCCGGAGACGTGCGGACATGCGGGAAACGCCGGCCATGCCCTGCCGGCTGCGTCCAGCCAGGGCGCCGTCTCTGACTCCAGCTTCCCGTGTGTTTCTGCAGGGGCGCTGGGCATCTCCTGGGTGAAGTATTATTGCCAGTACGAAAAAGAGGCAAAAACCTTACGGATGACGCCCATGGACCAGAAGCCTGGAGCTAAGCAAGTGAGTTGGTTTCTTGGAGGGATGTCTGCAAACAGTGACCTAGCCATCAGGTCTCACCTTGAATCCACCCATGTCAGCTCTTTCCGTAAGCAAATAGACACACAAGCGCCACGTCCAGGGCAGCAGAGGCCAGCCCTGCTGTCGGGAGCGGTCGTCTGGCAGCGCCCGTCCTCAAGATGGTGACGGTGGGCTGGGTCCCGATGCTGTGGCCGTGGAAGGGCTCCGGGCCACAGAGCAGAGGGGTGGGCTTCGTGTGCCCTCCCTGCCGGGCTGCGCAGGCGGGCGGTTTGGTGCGACCTGGAGGAAGCACCTCGGCGAAGAGAAGTTTCACCTCCCTCTCTCCCAAGTGACCCAAAGTCCTGTGGGGTTTGGCAGTGGAGAGGCAGGTTCGTGTCGTGTCAGCGTTGTTCAGGCAGTGGTGACTTGCAGGTTTGGTCAAGTGTGAAATCTCTGCCTTTCTAGACAAGCTAATTTTTATATTTATCCATGCAAATGGGCGGTGAACCTGCAGCCTGGTTTGCACATAGCCCTCTAGCAGTGCCTGCAAGTACTTGAATTACTCGAGTTATTAATGAGCACTTTCAAAAGCAGTATTTATCTGCCTTTGCATGTTCACACAGTCACTAGTTTGTGATTTTGATTTCTGTTCTCGGAACTTGTTACATGTGAGTGGGACCGGTGTTAGGAGAGGAGGACAGGGCAGCAGTTGCAGCTCTAAACTGTGCAATAAGGCAACGATTTGGGGAACTGCTTTTTTCACAAAGGGCTTTGGTTTTTACCAGTGAGCGATGTGTCTGGGAGTTCCCTGCAGTTCCTCGACGTGACAGAGGAGGGGTAGGATGCAGGCGTGGATGATGGACCATGGCTCAGAGTACAGCAAGTGCGTCCAGCTGAGTCCCCCCGCCCTCCTCTGCCATGGAGCGACATCCCCCGGGAACTTCCCGGTCAGGCATGCTCTTCTCCAGTTCGTGATCTCATGGTCTGTTCTTTGGCAGCCCTCTGCACGCTGCAGCGATAAAATAAAATGTATTTTTTGGAAGCCCTTGGCAGAGACCTTGGCAAAGAAATGTCCAGATCTATTGTCATCTCTGCTGTAAACATGTCTAGTAAGGCTAATTAATGCAGGCAGGGGCTTGTAAAAATGTAAATTAGTCCCCTTCCCAAACTCTTGCAGTCTGGTAATCTGCACCTTTGGGTCACGGCTGGCCACACAACTTCAAATGCCACAATTACAAAGAGTGCTCTTAAAAGCCCCAAACGACCAGCACAGGCACAAAACACAGCCAGGAGATTATCATCACGGCGCGTAAGCCAGATGTAATCTTGGAGGAGGCTGCCTTTGCCGCCGGGCTGTCCTGGATCTGCTTGATCTGCTGCTGGCAGAGGTCTTGCAGACGCAGCGGCAGTGACAGTCGGGGTGATGAACGTGTTCCAGGTTTGCAGACTCAGCCCCGGGGTCTGGTTGGCTGTAAGGTCTCCTGGTGTCTCTTCAGAGTTCCTGCAAAGTCGTGGAGATCTCACGATCACGTTACAAATTGACTCTGCTTTAGAGTCAATTAATGCCCCTGTATTAAGGGGCGTGAACGCAAAGGGCCAGAGCTCAGCCCCGCAGTGCCGGCCTTTCATCAGAGTGCCTCTACTCTAGATTTGGTCAGTTAACATTCTTTTTCTACAAGGTATTTTGGGTAAAGCTGTTTGGACCACGAATGCTATGGATAATTGGTAGCGCTGATCAGCCCTGATAAAAATTAGGACCCAGCTGTGTCAGACAAGCACAGTCCTGGCCTCAAAGACCAAGCAACTGCCTCCTGAGGTTTGTTCATAGCAGCGTTCCTGCTCTGAGGAGGCGTATTGCTTGTGGCTGAGATATTCAGCACTTGTTTGCGGGGTAGTGCCGTGAAACGTAGAAGGTTTTGTGGCTGAGGAGAGGAAGCCTGGCTCACAAAGCCTTTGATCCCTGTCTTTGTTGATGGTGGGAAGGCCTGTCTGCGCTCCTGGTACCAGTGCCGTCGGACTGGCAGGGCCCCCGCTGGGAGCCTGCTGCTCTACGGGCACTGCTGTGCTGGGCTGCCACCTAAGGGTGCTGAGGAGCCTGAAATCTTGTCCCATACTTCTGTCCTCTAATCTTGGCTTTAATTTTCTCTCCTAGGGCACCTTGGACCTGACACTGAAATCGTGTGTAAGGAGAAAGACTGACTCTATAGACAAAAGGTTTTGTTTTGACATTGAAACTAATGAAAGGTGAGGTGCTTAGTATTCAAATGGCCTCCAAGCAGATAAACCTTGTAAACCTGGATGAAATCGCTTTCTGCTGTTTATTAAAAACAACTTTTGTTTCATTTTCCTGCCTGTCCCTGGGTGAACTCCGCACAGGTCTGGGACCATCACGCTGCAAGCACTCTCGGAAGCCAATCGAAGGCTGTGGATGGAAGCCATGGACGGGAAGGAGCCGGTGAGTGTTCGGGGAGCTGCCTCCCGGCCGCGCATCTGCTGCCGAGCAGTGTCCTCTGCCGGCGGGGCCTGCGGCGGAGCGGCCACGCAGCCACGGGCAGGCTCCTTCTGCAGCTGGCGCCACCGCTGCTGGTACCCATAATTCGGGCTTCAGTTCAGCCACTGCATGGCCAAAATGGGGTTTTCTGCTGTTCTGCTCGCAGCACAGCTTGCAACAGGGTTTTTTTTTTCCTCCTTTAAAGCTCTGGTACGTTCCCGAGTTGTGCCAGACTGCCTAAGGACCGTGGCCATGCTGGGTCTGGAACGCTCGATATTTCTGTTGCTCACAACTCGCGCTCCAGACTGCGGGAGGTCTGGAGAAGAGGAGGCTGAGGGGAGCCCTCATCGCTCTCTGCAACTGCCTGAAAGGAGGCTGGAGCCGGGGGGGTCGGTCTCTTCTCCCCAGGAACAAGGGATGGGACGAGAGGGAACGGCCTCAAGCTGCGCCAGGGCAGGGTTAGGTTGGATATTAGGAAAAACTTCTTCCCCGAGAGGGCTGTCAGGCCCTGGCCCAGGCTGCCCAGGGCAGGGGCCGAGTCCCCATCCCTGGGGGGATTTAAAAGACGGATAGACGTGGTGCTCGAGGACATGGTTTAGTGGTGGACTTGGCAGTGCTGGGTTAACGGTTGGACTCGATGATCTTAAGGGTCTTTTCCAACCTTAACAATTCCATGATTCTAGGTGATTTTTTGTCTGTCCCTGCTCTGAGCAGCGTTTGGAAAGTCTGGCCCGTGGGAGCGGCCACCCTGCCCCAGCATTCGCCTGCCTTTCGGTGCCTGCTGGTGTTTCCTTCCTTCAGTCTGAACAAAGCAAAGTTTAAAAGCAAGCAAACAAACAAAAAACCCATACCCCTGTGTGCCAGACTGTCCAGCTGCCCTTTTTACAGGGCACCTAAAGGACAAAGTTTCCTGTTTATTTTTGGGAGACCTCTTTCCTAGAAATAGGTGCTCCAGTGAAATGTAGGAAGTCAGCAAAAACTCGTTTATTGTGTAGATAATGGTATCTTCCTTAATTATAAAGTGACATTTCTTTGGGAGATTGCCTTACTGTTTATGACTGGCTTTGGGTGATTTATGGGGTGCTGCATTTTCTTTTGAAAATAAATATTGAATCACGTTGCATTATGTTTTTGTTTCTTCCTCCTCCATTCCCTCCCCTTTTTCAGATCTACCACAGTCCCATCACGAAACAGGAGGAAAGTGAGTCGTTTCTGTTGCTGTTCTCTGAGCTGCCGAAGCCGTCCGGAGGTCGGGCAGTGTATTTCCTTGCCGATATACTCGTCCTTGATTTCTGCTGGATAGGCTGTGCTTTCCCTCCGTGCCGGCAGCGTAACTTCTTTCCTTTTCGTCACAGTGCCTAATACTCAGGCCAGATAAGAATGAGTGGCAAATGGTGAAAGTTATCAATTGCGATGTGCAGTTTTTATTTAGCAAGAACTAGCGGGATGCAGAGTTCAGTTTGCACCTCTAAACCCCAAACGAACCGAGGGGAAAAAAGATCAGTGAGAGATTTGGAGGACGTTTCCCTTAGCAAAGATTATAACAGGAAAATAGAGGTGGCATTTGGTTCCTGGGAGCTCCCGCCCCACCGCCTTGGCCCGCGGCCCCCTCAGGCTGCTGCCCTTGGCCTTTCCCCTTGCGGCAGCGGCTGAGCGCGCTGCCCTCGAGGCGCTGGGGCTTCGTTAGCTGCCTGAACACTTGCCTTCTGTATCTTATAGCTTGCTGTTACCGGCACTTTAATTAGTTGACTTTAATGAGCGTAGAGGTAGCGTTATCAGAGGCATAAGCATGAAACCTGTTGTTCGACTGGGTTTGCATTACACGCCTGGAAAGAATGCCACTCAGCGTTTCACAAAAGTAAATACACTCTATTTTTAATAGATTGGAGCTAGAAAGACTTCAAGTCACATTATACCAATATATATACCATTTTATATATATACACACCATATTATACCAATATATATACCATTATATATACCACGTACTGAGTGGCTCTGTGCTTAACGGTGTCTTTACTCATTGCTGTGTGAGAGCTAAGATATGTCTGAGCTTTTCGTCGCTGTTGCTCAGAGAGAATCATTATAAACAACGTGCTGAAAATGCAGTGATTTCACAGGATTCACCAACACAGCCTGTGCTGTGACTGGGGTTGGTCCAGATGTCTCTTGTGGCTGTTTTTTCAAGTAGAACGTTGTTTTACATTAACACCCCCCCCCCCCCCCCCCCCCCAAAAAAAAAAAAAACAACAAAAAAGCCTACAACTCACCCCTATCCCCCCAAAAAAAACCCTAAAACAAAACCAACAACAGCGTGGTCATTTAGGAGAAATTCAATGTAAAAGTTTGCACTGAACAGAAAGATATTTCGCATTAGAACTTGGGCAATCCCTCCATGAGCTTTTCGTCGCTGTTGCTCAGAGAGAATCATTATAAACAACGTGCTGAAAATGCAGTGATTTCACAGGATTCACCAACACAGCCTGTGCTGTGACTGGGGTTGGTCCAGATGTCTCTTGTGGCTGTTTTTTCAAGTAGAACGTTGTTTTACATTAACACACCCCCCCCCCCCCCCCCCCCAAAAAAAAAAAAAACAACAAAAAAACAAAAAAGCCTACAACTCACCCCTATCCCCCCAAAAAAAACCCTAAAACAAAACCAACAACAGCGTGGTCATTTAGGAGAAATTCAATGTAAAAGTTTGCACTGAACAGAAAGATATTTCGCATTAGAACTTGGGCAATCCCTCCATATATCCCAGAAAAAATAGCAGAGTAGTGTGGTTACAGAAGTTGAAATATGCGTATAGAAAAAAATCCTGACTTCCTACCTGCGTCGTGATGCCTGCGAAACAGGCACAGAGATGGTCTGTGGTTAACTGGCTGGAACGAAAACCTGTGTTCTGCTTTACTCAGCATGTCAAGCTGTATTGGTTTTGCTGTTTAATCTAGTCAAGTAGATAAGCAGAAATTACACAATCCTATGATGTGGAAGAGCTTTAACTGCAGATTTTGCAGTGCTCTGGAAATGATTAATCAACTCCTTATCAGACACAAATTCACGGGTGGCGGGACTCTGATTTACGCTTTTATTATTAAAGACAGAAAGGAGGTAGGGAGCAACGCTGTAACTCAAAATAAACTCAAGGAAAACTGGAGAGCATATGGAACTAATAATTCCTTGCCAGGATGTAAAGAATGCCTGTGCTTTCATGGCGGGATGTACAGGACGCAGCCCGTGGACCCGGCTGCGCGCTGGGGCGCTGCGGCTTCGTGCGCCGAGCAGGCTCGGGGTGCGGGGCCGTGCCAGGCGTTGCCCGCGGGGAGGCGCGTGCTGGCGCTCGGGCGGCTAACCCCGCGTCTCTTCTTTGAAACAGTGGAGCTGAACGAGGTCGGCTTCAAGTTTGTACGGAAGTGCATCAACGCAGTGGAGACGAAAGGTAAGGTGCCCGCCGTGGCGCCGGGAGGTGCCGCCGTCCTGGCACGCGTTGTGCCCCGCGGCCTGGAACCGTATCGCGTTTTCTGCGGCGTAGCGCTGTTAGTTAAAAGTGAAAGTCTGGTGTCGTTGACCGAAGAACGTGTGTCAGAGGAGCAGCGATCCTGTGTGGTCTGGAATGTCATTATCCCAAATTCTGGCTGGGATTTAATTTCCACCTTTATGCTGTTTTCATTCATTGGTTTCTCATTGGCTCTGAGCAAACTCATTCTTAGGCAGAAGGAGAGCTGCTCTGGAAGTCTGTGCTGGGGGACAGGCAGGGGTTAACTGGGGTACTGGGTTATTCAGACCCATTTCGTTAAAAGCAGCAGGACAGAAGCAGGCTGATGGATGGTAGCTCACCCTCTGGTCTTTCTGTACCCGCGTACGTTGCTGGCGCGGGCTATGGGAGGAAGATAAATCCCTCCCGAACAGCTGGACCCCAGCCTGCCGCAGGGAGAGGGGGCTGGATTCATTTCCAGAGCCCCTGGGGGATGCGGCCAGGCCCCGCGAGGCCCTCCTCGCAAAGGTGGGCCAGTACCGCGGTCCTGCCTGCCCTGACCCTGACCAGCATTCTCAGAGAACCCGCTTTTCAGAGGACCTTCTGCGGCAACTGGGACACGTGAACGTTAGAGCAGCGCTCTTTCCAGAAGCGGTGTGTCGAGGCGGGGGGGCTGGCCAGCTCGAGCGCGTGTTCCAGGGTGGGCTGCGCGCGCCGGACGGCGACGGCGACGGGGACGGGGACG